TTGGATNTTTTAGGGATTGATTTTCATGTTGACTTGCACGAGATACCAAAAATGAATTTTGACAAAAAATTGATAAAATTGAAGTCATTGATAAAAACCTGGACAAGAAGAAATTTAACTCCAATTGAAATTGAAAAGCATTTATAGATTCATTAAAATTATCTTGGATCAGAAGGCTTTTTCAGACCACAGCTAAATGGCAAGTTATTTTAAAAAGTTATGTTAACATAGATCTACTAACCAACTGCGGCAATGATTTTGTGCAAAAATGTCTAAAAGAGTGTAGAAATTCTTTCTGGCGTGATGTTTTCAAAGCTTGGTACCGTTTGAATTTATTAATTGAAAAATATAGTCTTATGAAGGATTCTATATTAAAAACACCATTATGGTTTAACAGAGATATAGTTGTTGGTCAGAAATCAGTATTTTTTAAGAATTTTTATGAAAAAAATATAATAACTATAAATGACTTGATAACAGATCAGAATACTGGAAGCTTTCATAGTTTCCAGGAAATTATTCACACATATCGGATAAAAACAAATTTCCTCCAGTATCATAGCATTTTGTTAGCAGTGAGAAAGTTTATATCTTCAAATGAAATCCCTAAACTAAAAATCCGATATCTTCTTTTACCTATGAACATTGAATTATTCCTGAAAAACAGAAAAGGCTCGAAAGATTTCTATAATATTTTTATAAAAAATAATACTGTACCAACAGGTAAAAGAAGTGGAACAAAGTCTTTGACTTGAATGATTCAACATGGGCTCAAATATACCAGATTCCCTTCAGTGTTACAAAAAACACCAAACTCTATTGGTTTCAGTATAGAGTTAATCACCATATTTTAACCACAAACTCTTTTCTCTTTAAAACACATCTAGTTATTTCTCCTCTCTGTACTCTATGTAACTCTGAAAATGAAACCATTATACATATCCTGTGAGAATGTCAAGAAGTCCAGAATTTACTAGATAGTCTAAGAATTCTACTAGATGCTCTTTTCATCCCATTTAATTACAATATACAATCCGATATTTTTTTATTTTTATCTCAAAATTTCAATAACTGCAAAGTTGATCATGAAATTCACCTTGTTATAAAACAGTATATTTACAAAATGCGATGCTTTCACAACTCCCTCAACATCAATGGACTTATAAATGCATTAAAACAATTTTACGACTTGCAAACCTTTATTGCTAACAGCAATGGGGAAGCTGCCAGGAAAATCTGAACGACTCCAGATAAGCGACTAGACTCCTAATATCCATGGAGAAGCTATAAAAGACTAAGAATTGGAAACGCCGAAGAAGGCAAGAGAAGTCACTAGAATCTGGAGGACTCCAGAGAAGCGACTAGACTCATAGCCACCCCAGAAAATATATCGGTTAGATTTACCCCGAGAAATCTGGCTACAGATAAAGTGAAGAAATAATTTAAAGCCAAAATGGAACGATTATGTTAGTCGACATAAGAGTGAGAGCCCCTTTTTTCATTTTTTCATATTTTGATGTTGTTGTATCCCTTACTTTTTATCACTCCTACCAATGATATATATTGATAATAAATGGTTCTATACTTTTAACTACTTCATGCAACAGCAGCAGGGTATGAACAGGGGGCATTAATGACTTGCCAAAAAAAAAAAAAAATACAATTGTACCAATTTCTCTGTTAAATATATCATAAGGGCATTGTTTTCCTATTACAAATTAATTAAGATTGACTTTTTAACGAGAACATTATATAGCTAAAAATATCAACTAAATATTTATATGTAATTGAAACATACATGGATTTATCTCCCTTATACCATCTGATATATATATGTCTATGCTACTTATTATATATAATTTGCATCAATATTTTCTTACAAACCATTTCATTCATCTCTGTCTTTGTCATAACATCCTGAGGAGGGAACTTATATAGGCCTAGCCTGCTGTTTAATCCTATTGTTCACTCAATAAAATATAATGAAATGAAATGAAATTCCTTAAATTCTGTTCTTAAATTTTTAGATGATTTTGGTAATGCTTCTGGTCTGAAGATAAATATTGAAAAAACACAGACAATTTGGATTGGGGCAAAACGGGGTTGCGGAGAGGAAATACTTCCAGAAAGGAATTTGAATTTGAAGCACCAAGGACAATTTAAATTATTAGGTATCACTTATAACTTTCAATTGGAAAATATTTTGGAAGATAATTTCAGACAAAAGGTAGTCACTGTCAAAAAGCTACTAAATGATTGGTCATTCAGAAACCTTACATATATTGGCAAAGTAACTGTTCTAAAAACTTCAGCTCTGCCCATTTTTATTCAAACATTTACCGTCTTACCAGACCAACCATTAGAAATGGTCAAAGTGCTACAGAAATATTTCTTTGAATTTTTATGGAACGAAAAGGCAGACGAAGTGTAACGTACTATTATGTATGGGGATTATAATAAGGGGTGTTTACGTGTACCACACATTTTATCTTTTGGTCATGCCTAAAAAATGTGCTGGATTAAAAAAATATTGGATCCATTAAATACTTCACCTTGGAAGACACTGATATTAGATAAAATTGAACCATATGGGGGAGATAAAGTCTTTAAAATGAAAAAAGAAGGGCTTTAAACATTTCCAAATTCTTTAATATCTTTTGGAGAGAAATATTGACTATATAGGCAGAGTTAACTGGTGATGAACTCCCCACAACCCCAGACACTGTTGCTTCTCAGCCGATCTGGTATAATGACTTCATTAGAATTGATAATAAGATTTTAATTTATAAACATTGGTGTGAAAAATACCTTTATTATTGGGAATCTTGTTGAAAACAATAGTTTTTTAACACATGAAAACTTTTGTGAGAAATTCAATTTAGCTGTTAATTTCATTGAATTGGAAGCTAATTTCAAAGAAATTAACCAATTGAGGCAAAACAATGTTGTTGTTTTTTCAGTATTTTAAGAAACATAAAAAGATTACAAACTATTTTATAAATTGATACTGAAATCAGTCACAGAAATACCAAAGAAAAGGATACATAGCAGGAAATGTTACATGTAAACATTCCCAAAGAATCCTAGTGTAAGTTTTATTCAATTCCGAGATATATTACAGATGACACTAAACTTTAGAATTTTCAGTTCAAACTCTTTCATAGAATTCTATATACTAATACCAAATTAATGCAATGTTAATTAAGTGAAACAGAAAGATGCACATTCTGTGGTGAGGGAATTCAAGAGAAACAGCAATACATTCATTATGGGAATGTTGTCATGTACAATCTCTTTGGTCATCCTTTATGTATCTATTGAGGTCACAATATGAAATAGACTTAGCAAGAGACCCAGTAATCATGTTGTTTGGTATTTTTGAAACTGAAAATTAAAATGAAATAAATTTCTTGATTTTAATATTAAAATATTACATATATTTGTGCAAATTAAGGAAGAAAACCCCTGCATTTACTGAATGGAAAACTTCCATGTTCTTTTTATAAAAAAGTAGAAGAGTCCGGATACATATTCAAATAAAAAAAAGATTATGGTAAATCAAAAATGGAATTTCATTGACAGAATGCTAAATATGGATACATGATTTTTTTTTTTTTAATTTTTGGATACAATCTTCAGAGTTAAATCACTCATGAAATATGTCAAAATCAATAAAGCAATGTAGCAGTATGAATTTGTATATTTGTATTTGTTGTAATAAAGTTTTATTGATGCAAGTTCAGTTCAAAGATATGGATAGCATACGTACAGTGGCCTTTCATTATTCTTACTGATATTACATATTTATGTAGGTTTTGAATGTGACAACAAAAATTTGAATAAAAAACAAACAAACAAATCCGAGCTCGTACAGCCTGCTGTCCCACCTGATCGAAACAGAACGATATCGATCTAACATAGGATTCGTCGGAGACACCATGCATTCCTCGAACTATGGATAAGGACCCAATATGTTCGACTTAGCAGAGTTTTACTGTGTAAGTACCTATTATATGTAAACATTTGCATAACTTGAAAAAATAACAATAATTGAGTGAAAAGTGATGAAAGAATAAGAATAATCAATTTGTTATAGGTACATTGCTATGAACATATCATTTAAACATTTTTTTAGCTGTACATTGTAGTTAGTAATAACGACAGCGGGGTCTTAATATTGACACTGAATACGAACATGCACGTAGACAAGTACATATATATTGTAATAGCAAATGCATTTTTCCCACATTTAAATATTACATTACACAGCTGGCCTCCAAAAGTTAAGATTTTAGTTATAAATAGCCTTTGATTTGCAGACGGCTGCAGGTATATGCTTAAACATCAGCATAAGTATTTTGTAGCAATCTGTTTTCTTCGTTTAATAGTTTTGTGGTACAATTATTTCGTGTTTGTGTTTTGATTAAGGAACGAAATTTTGACATATCGCAATGTCCCAATTACTTGTCTTATAGAATATGCACCAAATATATCAAAAGTGTACATGGTACATGACTATAGTCATTTTTATTACAAATGCATATAGCTACATAGTTCGTGTCACACGTTTAACTACATAGACATGTCACATTTGTAAAAAGTATACCGAAGTATATTATGCAAACAGATTTATAACTGTGTAACATTAATACAAAGTACATGTAACAAATAAAACAGTTTTTACACATGATTTCAGATTGAAATTAATTTATCTGAATTGTATTTGCCTTTTTGCTTGCCATACTTCAATACTCTTAACCATAGGACAAACACCCAAAAGATTTACATTGGACAACTATGTTCCTATCACAGTTTTATACATATCCACAATAAATCGGTAAAATAGAAGAACATACATTTCTCACATATTTAATCGAGGGTTTGAGCAATCTAATTAAAATTATATCTTCACATCGCTCCCGTTTACTGATATGTCGCGTTGAAGATCTAACAACATGCCATAGAGGGTCACGTCAGAGGTCAACATGAATGTNGTGCATGTCTCATGAATATGAATTTAATATTGATATTGCAAAATCTAGTGATTGAAATATCAGCAATGCCAATGCAGTACTGTAATGCTATTCCTCGTATTGATATGTGAGTATCTCCTTATTCAGTGTAATAGGATATACGTGTAATATATGCTCATGCTGCCTAGCATAAACATCCGACAAGAGCCCAGGTCGTAATATCTGATTATACTGCATACTATAATGAACTTATGAATTGTTTATTAAAAATGGAAACTAGCATAAACATTTTCATTGATCTATGCACGCTTGGGATTATTCTCCACTCGAATGATATTTTGACTTATCATCTAATTATAACACAACTGTCGAGATTTACGATCTCGTCTTAGATGGAACAATTCATCTACAGATCGGACACGGATTTAATATAGTCCATGCTCACTATATGCTGTGTTCGTAAAGTGACTTGTTGTGCTCACTCGCTGCTGTTTCTCTTGAAGTCTAAATTTCTTGAATTTCTTAACAAATGCTTTGTCCATTACACCCAAAGCAGGAATTGCGTCATATATAAGGTCATTGTCTTCTTCAGAATCGATGACCGTGTCGGGGTTGTACCCTCCTCGTTTAAGAGTTTGACTTAGGCGTTCTTTTTTCAAGAAATCCTCAGGTGTGTTAGGAACTCTCCGGTTTCTAACCTCACTCATGAAATGCTTTTGTAATGGCGCGCCAACAGCAAAGCGTATTTTTGGAATGCCCTTTTCGATATCGTTGAACGTGCCTTTATCCATTCCACTTGTTGTCACCGGTTTCTCCCTCACATCTAAGAGCTTGCTTTCTTTTTGAGCTGTGCGTCTGAGGATTGATCTCATCATAGAATTGGCTCCACCTGTTCTTCTATCTATAAGATTACATCCTACGTTGGCACTTGCATTCAGTCCTGTTTGCCTTATACTTATGCCAAGCGGATTCGTTGAACCAGGAATATTTTTCGTGCCCTTTTCTTGTATATTATTTATAACTTGTGCCATCGCTCGAAAAGCTTTCTCGTCTTCTTCCTCTTCGTCGTCACTGTTCATTGCATCATCTTGGATTGACTCGGAATTTAATCTCTCACAAAATTCAAGCGCTTTCTTTGCCATGAACTTAGAATTTTCATTTTCAAAATCGTTTTCGCTGACGGTTCGTTTAAAAGGATTTGGTATATCTGTAATTGCAACCAAGTGCAAGAACGTTCCCCATCTATGTACCAACATTCCAATAAATTGAATTAGTATGATGACACCGAAGAATATGATAAATAGCATGCCAAGCAAGTCAACTTGGAAGGTTTCTGAGTTCACTTCGGTTTCATCAACATCACTCTGAAAAATAGAAGCATGGTCGAATAAATACCATAACTGTGCGGGTGAATCTTGTTAAAATGTTTCTAGCTTCATCACTCAATTCTGTTTAGGAATGCAAATTTACAAAGTCAAATATAAATATTTGTCGTCAAGTCAAGATTAATAATTAGAAGCGAAAGGGTAAAATTAATCATTTGTACATTTATGTTGATTTTGTTAGAACGTTTATATATAATAAAAACATAAAGGTATTACCCTTAAATCTGAATAATTTAAAGCATGCTTATCATTTTTTCTTTCTTGTTATAGGTTAAAAATGACTATAACATATACAGAGAGTACGATATATGCCACGTCTTTTTATATGCTTGGAAATCACACTGCAATAGATTGTCAATTGCTGCAAGGACAATGATATTTATCTGGATAGATACGTACGATTTAACTAAGATTAAATGTTCCAAAATATATCTAAATCTCAACTTAACGTGTACAAAAAATACACAATCTATATTAAGTGTTTGGTGTTCCGTAATGTATTTGATTGCAAAATTAGAGAATGGAATTTAAGTGACAGCTTAACGTCGGTTTCGTGTTGAGAGAAGAAAAAAATGTCGTTATTCCCAGTGATAACTTAGAAAATATTCAAAACTTGAATAAAAAAAAACGGTGTTTTTTTCTCTCCCAATAATGTGATATTGTGAGAATATTAGGTGATACCAAATACCCACTGGTACTTCGAAATAGATGGTGGCCGGTTTCCGCAGCTGGAACATGAAGTTAACTGCAATCCAAATCAGATTGATGATACCTATGGCAACGCATATACTGTTTCGGAGTTCTAGCAGTCGAGTCTTGATTTGTTTCTGCGCCGCTGCGGTAACTTCCAGTGGATAAAGGTACCTAGACGAGTAATAAAACATCCCAACATTAGTAAGGTCAATCAGTAATTAGCATTCTGTCAGGACAGCCTAAAATATTTGATGTGGAAAGTAAAAAATGAATCGGATGGAACATTGTTGTTTCTATAGTATTATACATTATCATTCTAAGTTGGTGAGTGAGGAAAATATAACTGAAGTAGTTCAATTATATATTATTGTTGGTCTATTCAGGTAACCGTACATATGCAGCATTCGTAACCTATCTAAGCAATTAGGCTAAGACATTAAAATAAAACGTTTAAGTTAAAGCTTTTTATTCAGTATTCATTGTTTAATTTAATAGTCAAAACGATACCAATTAATTAATTTATACTAATTTTAGTGTAATAAAACAACTGTTGAGTATAGTATAGAATGGTAGACCTACATGTACCTGTGGGTTAATACTCCTGAGAATAGTATAGAATGGTAGACCTACATGTACCTGTGGGTTAATACTATTGAGAACAGTAAAGAATGGTAGACCTACATATACCTGTGTATAAATACTGTTGAGTATAGTATAGAAGGGTAAACCCACATGTACCTGAGGATTAATATTGTTGAGTATAGTATAGAATGGAAGACCTACATATACCTGTGTATAAATACTGTTGAGTATAGTATAGAATGGTAGACCTACATATACCTGTGTATAAACACTGTTGAGTATAGTATAGAATGGAAGACCTACATGTACCTGAGGATTAATATTGTTGAGTATAGTATAGAATGGAAGATCTATATGTACCTGTGAATTAAGATTTTCCAGAATTCCTCTTCTGCGGGATTCATCCGAAGTATGGGACCATTTCCTAGTTTATTTTGTTTTGCCAAATGTGAATCAATCTTATCATCGATATCTTTCTTTTTGGGGGTCACTATATCATCTTCCAACTCGTCATGCTCATCTTGCATGATTTCTTTGTCATCGAATGTGACAGTTTTCTTAAGAATCGGATGTTGCGTGTCGTTTTGGAAAACCAGCTCTGGCATACTTTCAATATCCTGCACACCAGTGTCAATTTTGCGTCCTTTACTTTGTTTTAATTTTAGTAATAGTTCAAAATTTTTGTTCATGACTCTCAGCATTTCTGTCGTCGCTTCTTTTCTTTTGTTTTTCAACTTCAGGCCTTTGAGGACCTCCGCTATGTCGGCGAATTTCATATTTGGCATAAACCGAGAAAGGAATCCCTGTTGATTCCTTTCTTTTCTTTCTTTCTTTAACCTTTTCTCTTCTATGGTTTCCTGTATAGTTTTCTTCTTTTGTACTTCCCTTGTTCCCCAGGATATGTCATGCATATTGCAAAGAGAGTAAATAACAAGAAGTAGGAAACCTAATGGAATACAGAGGAAGTACATTGCTCCATGCATGATACAGCTAAATTCATGTGGGTGGAAGCAAGCTGCAAAGATAAAGATGAGGATCACTGACTCTATGAAAATCACACTCGGATGAAGAGGATTTTCTTTGTAGGCTATAATGATACAGCCGATGAAGACGACAGCCATAACTAAAATATACCATGCACCTAGAATCTGCGCTGCTCTAATTTGGTGCTTTGGTTTTACATTGAAGCACAATATAATGAAAAACAGCGCTGGTAAAAGAGCTATGAGATAAGAGGTGATTAGTTCCACGTTGAAAACAGACACAAGTGCTCCAGCTATCATCATCACAACCAAACAAGGGCCTACCATGGTCGACAGTAGAAGAATATCTGAAATAAAATAATGTGTCTTACTGTACCTCTTTCCTAAAATTATCGTAAATGTGTTTATCATTCAACAAAACAAATGCAAAAATACAGCAGATGCGCTAAAGCATTTATATAATTCCCAATGATAAGGGTATTTGCAATTTGTTCTTGAACATGAGCGTAACAAATGTCAACTTATATATAATACAATCAATAAAGTTGTGTTGTATTCCTCTTTATATCAATAAATATGAATATATATGATCATTTAATAACTGCTCCCTGAGCAAGATGGAATTCTTGTTTACCAAAATTTGAGATAAAAGGTTGCAATTGAAATGCGATATAAAACATTTGATTACAAAAGGGTAAAACATCATACACTTTGTACTTTGTAAGAATTTTGGACTGATATTAAGATAATTAAAATATCAGAAAATTTACGTGTTGACCCAGCTAGTGTATGTTGCCAAGTGTATACGACAGTGACACTTGATATATTTCCAATGAGTGCAAAGTGCTTCGTTCATTGCAAAATATATACTCGATATGTCTGGCCACATACATTGATAGACGATGTAAAGCCAGCTTATGCTGTTGTTGATTGCAACAGTGTTTCGTCCATCCTGCAACAACTCAAGGACATTCGCAAAAGTGGAAGGCATCCAGCGTCGTCTCTGATCGAAGAATTCGCCAAAATCTTCAGGAACGTGGGTAAAGACATCTGCGGCGGCTGTGTAGTCAATACGGTACCCCTGTTGTACTAGGAGGGTGCACAACCATCTGTCCTCGCCTATTTACAAAGTCATCATATTCAAATCACTTTATTTCATAAACGCTTAAGGCAAATCATACCCTTTTAAACGTTTATCGTTAAAATGCTACATGATAATCCTAGAAATATACAATTTTCCAATACAAATCTAATATTTTATCAACTATTATTTTGTTTTACAAAAAAGGCATTCCGTATAGAATAAGGAAATTCAAGACTAATTATGTTCTACCAGTGAAATTCTATTTTAACAGCGAGCGAAAATCCTTTTCTCGATTTAACCATATGTTCTAGGAACGAAGAAAATGTGTGTATACTTTGAGCGAAGCCCTTAGATTTCGAGGAGGATGGAAATATAGCGTTTGAAATACAAATAAAGAATTTGCGTGTGTGCGGTATCATTGTATTATCTAAAATGATCCCCTTAACAACCACCGTGAACTAAAATACATAAAGACAAACTCATTAAGTTGTGTGACAGACTCGGTTAAGTGACAAATAGTAAACAGCTTGCTATTGGTCGGTCTATAGCAGCTAGGTGTTTTATGAAATCAAGGTCAGCGCAAGATATTGAAAATTTCACGCATAAACAAATATTTACCTCATTACTTACGGAATCAAAGACTATATTATTGTTTATATCATATAAAAGCGTATGGAACAAAAAGTTTGAAAATCTTTAGAAATAAGAGAGGCAGGTGTTTTATTACCTTGGTCGTACATGAGATGATGAGACGCTTCAGTTGGAAGGATAGTGAACTTCCTCATGACGTTGTCATCCATTAGAGAAGATCCACGGAACATGCTGAAACATCCGGGACTGCACAATACACACCCCAGCACGTGTTCTGTGGCTTTCTGAAGCCAATGGGCCACGGCGTACTCAAACTGCTGGAACCATACTACCGGCCCTGTACAGTAAGCAAAGTATACGATAAATCCATGTTTTTCATACAAGGTCAGGCAGTCACCAATCTTAGAACTGTATTAAATGCCGCAAGGTGTGCGGTTGTATAGTTTATATTATCGACGTTTAGGTATGAGGTCGTCATAGATGGTTATGTGTATCTTGTATATAACGTGATATCCATGTAGCCCGCTTTTTCGACTAGACATGTTGATTTCGATTAAAACACCTATATATAGATGTTAAGCGTAGGAAACATGCATATTCAGAGCAACAATAGCAATGTCAATAATTCATTATATACATGTTATACGTATTTTAAAATTTTCGTAATAAAAAACAGTTGAATAGATTGATTAACTTTTAATGGATGAAATGAAATCAAAAACATCTAGGCAGCTATTTATCATGCTCGTGGTCGTCACCTGGTTTGATTTATTCAGTAATATGCAGGAGAACTTTACCCGGTAAATCAAAAAAGGAATCTTGAATCACTGTTTAAATATAAATATGTATATCTAGTAATGACAGCGTTTTAACAGATTATATACATATGTAGCATACCGTTTTAAAAGGAAATCCAGCTATGGCGTAAAGATAATTTCTATCCTAAAGGTAAGTTATTTGTAATACGTTACGGTGTTTGAATGTAAAGGAAGATATAAGAAATGCAATGTCATAATAAATTCTTCTTTTGTTGTTGTTAAAAAATGCATAATTGTTCTACAGTATGCTTTGATAATAGTCAAATGACATAAAAAGATGCACATCTTTGAATCTTCGGTAACATATTTTGGCTCCTGTGTAATTTGTGAAATTATTAATGCTCAAGATTTGCTCTTCATTGAGTTTATCCCTTTAAACAATATTGTCTTTGACGTGCACTGAGTCTCGATAACATTTTGTATGAACATATATATATATAAGTAAAATTGAACAAAGGACATATATCGTCTATACCTTGGAATGTAGAAATATGCGTTACATGTATACTACAACGATACCTTTGCCTGTGGGATGAATCCGTCCACACACCGCCCCCACTCTGTCGTTTTTCTTCATCTTATCAATAAGGAGATGCACCGCTCCTGGTGTAAATTCAACGTCACCGTCCAGAGCCAATATAAACGTGTTCTGTGCCTATTGGCTCAGAAATACAGGACAGATAGTTATTCTTTAATATTATACTAAAACGACGGTAACTGAAATACGATCTGAAAAGTTTCAACAAAACATAAGATGTAGTATTTGTGGTTAAAATAGCTCCTTCTTCTTCCATAAAGATACATAACGGATAACATTATAAACGCAGAATCTATTACACAAAAACTGGATAACCATTGTATTACCATGTACTCACCCTGTATAACACTTCATCGTCGAGGAAATTAAAGATTTGGCTTTTTTCCACTTTCCCTGTTCTTTGTCTTTGGAAATGTCGCCAACTGACCAGATCGTTATAAGCATTGTCCTTCATGGCTGTCATGACAACCTCCTGGCATTCTTTGAGAATACGATAGCCAAGTAGGTAGTACATGTACATCACCTTAAGGTAAAGGAAATCAATGCATTAGCTGTAATCGCAAGGAGGAGTTTCACCTTAAAAAATATTTTACTATGCTCCCTTAGAAAAAGAAGATGAAATAAAAGAAAGTTTTTTTTTCTAGCTGAGAGATCCTTCCTTGTTAAGGAAGTCATACATGTGTCTCTTTTTGATGCTATACATATATAATTCCTGATTAACACCCTGTGGAATTGTCGGTGGATAGGTCCAGAGTTCAATCCGTCTAAAACAATATTTTGTTTGTAATCCAATTTTGCACATAATGTATCACACATGTTATGTTTTGACACTTCCTTTATAAGGGTAAGTTACATCAAGCAGCTTTACGTCACATCGGGTTTATATTTCTTCTAGATTAAAGGATATATATATACTAAACATCCAAATTTTTAAGGAATATATGTGATTTAAATAAACTTTTGTGTTTATTTTTAACTTTTATTTAAACGCATCTTTCTACAAAAAAACTTGTCTACAGATTAGGATTACCTTTCTGGAAATGCTATAAAGTATAATCAACCCTAAATCTTTAGATATCATCTATAGTTAACTGTCACTCGAAGTTGTTTCATCCACTGATAGTTATCTTTGTTTTCGAACTTCCTTTTCCATTCTATTTTAGAAAACGAATCGAACTAAAAAATAAAATAACACCGTACCTGTGACCATCGCTTCTTGTGTCGGACTTTTGTCTTGTCTTTCAGGTGAACGAACATGAAGTTTTCCCCAGGCATGAGATACACGAGCTGTCCTCCGTACGGGGTTGGGATCTGTATAGGGTCGCTGATTGACATCACCTTTTCGTGAACCGAGCTGTAAAGGTATCGAAGTGTCCGAGTTAGAATCACAGCAATTACATTTACTTTGTTATAATGTATGCACTCGTGACATGACAATTCGCCGGTGTCTCCAAAAACATGAACGCTTACATATCACATCATATAACAAAGATAAACAGTCACTTTGAATTATCTGCGACAGTTTTTTTTATCTCTCAACATGCTAACGCAAACTACAGTTCACGATAATAAGCCTCCAGATAAAAGCTTATCCAAGGGATGTCCGACAACAGCAGCATATTTAATAAATTATAACTGGATTTCGGTTGATGTATTTTATGTTGTAGTTTTGATTCATATTGACTGGTTATCTTTGATATATGTTGTGATATGTACGTGATCATATTTTTATGCCTCAGTTGTCGTAGTTTATACTTCATAAATATGTTCTTTATTGATATAATAGATGTTCGACACGTATCGTAAAGAAAACTATCAACTAATCAGATGGCAGATTCATTTAATAACTTGGCCTCAGATAACGTCCTAATGGAAATATACAGACAAATTATGGCAAAATGTTTACCTTGCAGCTTCTTCCATCAATTCCACGAAAATGTTGACAAAGGAGTTTGGAACACTTTCATTATCAGCATTAGTTTCGAACGCGTCATCGAAGAAAATGTGGGCTGCGTAAATTTAAATAAACAACGCTGTACAACGGTTTGCAAAATAATATCAATGAAATAACGTTTTTCATGGACACATATATCAATGAAACATATAATTTCGAATATATTAATACTAAAAAAACATGCTAATGGAAACATATTGAAGAAAATATATGGATGAAATCTTATGAACAAATCATATCAATGGAAACAAACAAGTAACAAACTTCAGTGAACAACTCTTGTAGGTTTTGGGCTTGTACACGCATGCGCTAGCGAGCCAATAGCTATCACAAGAATTCGGTTAAAATAATATTATCAATCATCATGCAGTAATTATTTAAGGACTAACTTGAATATATTTTAATGTTATGGAGATGTAACACAACAAACGGAGTGTACTCTAACTAAACCGTGAAGCAGTTTATGATGAGAGTACACTCCGGTTTTTTGTGTTATAAGCTCCATAACATAAAAAATATATTCAAGTCAATCCTTATAATTTAATCTACTACACACAATCCCTGTGGAAATCCGCTTTTTATTGATGGACTCTTTCCTCCAATCAAAAGCGACGTAACAAATGGCAACGTCATTTTTTTACGCTATGAGCTGATAACATAAATTGTTAAGCCAATGAAAATGTTTCTTACAAGCAAGATTGAATTATTAAGAATAAATATATAATCATTAGTATCGTGTTAAAGTATCTTATTAGTTAGATCACTATGTTCCCGGACTTTTGAAATTTTGATCTGATCTTAAGTTGTTAATGAAATTCCAGTCTATGAGTTCTATATTTAGTAACCATTTCTGAAAAGAACAAATGCCGTATTTATAAAGACATAATGTTTAAACAGCAGGGAAGGTATTGATAAGAGGAAAGGCAACCGAACTGCATCGGCAGGGCTCAAGTAAGTGTAAACCAAATATGGCATCGAGTCTATAAACAAAGGTAATGGATTAACGGACGATCTAGTCTACACAAGCATTGAAGTGATTTGCGCAAGTGCAGCGAGCCTTTAATATATCGCCAATAATTTGTGTTGAATACTCGATCATAACAGAATTGCTGTTGAACCCACACGTATGTTACCTACATATCTACCAACGAAGGGAAACATATACAGGTAACGAGACTGGGATAGGGACACATATACAGGTAACGAGACTGCGATAGGGACACATATACAGTTAACGAGACTGGGATAGGGACACATATACAGGTAACGAGACTGGGATAGGGGAACATATACAGGTAACGAGACTTAGAGTAAGAGATGTATGGATAGAAGGGAAATAATTACAAATCTTTGATCAGAGTGGGGACAAGAACATTTTTACAATAGAGAATAAATCATCCCGACGTAACCTGAAAACAACGTTCGGCTCACAAAACAAGCCTGTAAAAACTAAGTTTTTGTTTAAAAGGTCATTGCGTCTATAAACACTAATCAACGTACGTTGCATTGCGATTGGCGCGATCCCTTATTTCCATTGGCATCTTGATGTTACCTTCATAATGCTTTTATACCGGACATATATCAAGAATCAGCAGAATAAAAGCTACTAGTAGGAGAAGGAAAGTTAGTTTATGCTCTGCAAGTTGTTACAGATGTTACATGATAATTATATATATGCTAACTGTCAACTCACGCTCAAACTCGTAGTATTTCACATCCGCTTGCTCCACACCAAACATATTAACTGCCTTTTTCCGCAGATATTGATCCTTGTCCATCCTTATAAATGACCATAAACATTGATAATCTATACAACTTTAGCAATATCTACTGATGCCATTTGTATAATGTACTATACAACATAAAAGAAGATCATATGAAATGATTGAAGAAAGGTTCATGTAAGTATTTCACATTAAACACAATTGTCACAGTGTCAACAAAAAGACCAAACTCGGAATCAAGTAATAGTATATTGTTAGCAATGTTTTGATCGCGCTTTCACATTATCATGAGTCCTAGATTTTATTCAACAGCGACTATTTTGGGCCATGTAAACAGTCCCACAGAGACCATTTTAGTCTCGGAAGTCTACAAACCTTAAAATGTTTAAGTCTTTTCTTTAAGCAGGTAATACTACAAACCTACTTCTTTCGAAAATCAAAACGTCTTTGCTGTACGAGATTTTGTGTTTTACACATAAAGACGAATAAAAATTCACCAAGTAATGGTGTTTGTAGAACATCCTTATTAACCAACCCTCACCCCACCATCCATGAAATATACAACACCAAGTGTTCATTTTTCTACCCAATACTCAGTAACAATCGAAGACATGACAAGTGTGCATTAACCACGGCCAGAAACCCTGGATATTCATCCAAAAATGCAATTCCATAACAGAATTATTATATTGACTTTAAGAGCATAGTTTGCAAGTGTTTGGATTTTGAAAAATCCCACCGTAATAACTGTGTAGCGATTTGATATAATCTAAAATGTGTTGTAATCGATAACAATTTAAGTACCTGAACAACGACTTTAGGAGTTGAACCATTTCCTGTCGGCTTTCATGCCACATTGTTCCACATGCGTAGACCATGGGAGGTAAAGTACCCGTTGTCACCTCGTCTTCTGGACTAGTATCTTTCACGTTATCAAATGACAACCTATTTTAAGTAGCAAATGCATATTCTTACCATATAGATACCATAACATTGATGACGAAAAAGATTAAACCATACCTACTGACCGTGTAATACGTGTAGTAGCGATACGAGTCCTTTTTTGTCAGTATTTCTTTGACTCGGCATATTAAGTATGATATGTCTTAACACGAGCAGATTAATACCGTTGTCTTGGTTCAACATCAGTCGTCATGTAACGGCACTAGTAATAATTATCATGAGTTACCTACACAGGCTTCCGTCGAATATTGCTTTGCATATGTACATTTGTTGCCTGCCCATGACAAATAGATTGCCAATGATGGAGTATATGTGACAATCCATGATACCCTAGATTAATTCAATTTGACAAGCGTTTTTTACCATTACTCCGGAGTGATTAACGATGTGACATGGCGTGTAAGAATAAAATATCCCTTTGTATTGAGCAACTCTTCACCCAGGATAATCAAATATGTAATAGAGGCATATATAGGGGTAGGGGATAAGAAACAATTATTGCCGTGATGATATGTCAGATTCCTACAATGTTCGATGATTTTATATGACAAAAGCACATATTAACTGCGCTGGGATTTTCAAAGACAAAACATAACAATTGTACCCCTGTGATAACACATAGCGAAACATAAACTGGTGCTCTGATTACTCCAGATAGATCACCATAACAACGTGATAAATGCACATGCCAAAATAGAGGTATTTACAAAGGTGAATTAAACAGCAAGTTTGATTTAAGGAGACAGGTCAATTAAAGTTACCTGTAGTGAATTCGTCCTTCGCTGTTGACCTTGAAGATTTTGCGTGTGTGACGACGACGGTTAAGGATCAAATCTTGCTCCATCAATATTCCACAATACAAGGGGTTGACAAACAACCTACAACGGAAGAATGAAAATAACAGATTTAATTCACAATTATAGATACATATATCTAAAATTAAGAAATGTAAAATTAAATTCGGCAAAGCGATAGATTTTATTTAATTCAGTATTTCAAATGTTAATATGACAAAAACTAAACGATCCGTAAGTAATATAACCAAGAAACGAACCGGCCCATTAGTGATTAAAGACATATGAAAACGTGGACATATTTTTGTTTGAATACCAGGAATTATCAGTCACTTGTTTCTTTTCGGAACCTTTTATATCGGCTTTTCTGTGATTTCAAAGCATCAGGTTTTTCCACAAGCTCAAATAAGGGCTCAAATTTACAATGTATTCCTTGAGTTGTAATTGAGATGTAGTTTTCATCGTGAAAACGTCTAGATATGTAGATATAAGACATTCGTCCAAACGGTAATTGATATTGGACGTTGACTTACAACAAAGACGGTATCAGTTCTACCTGATTACGTCATGTTTCTAACTTTAACAATTCTGCAGCACTTTGTTTCTTTTTTTTGTGTGTTGCAAATTAGCCGGTAACGTGCTCAGAATTAAAATGGGATTTACTGCTCTTTGACGATGCAGACCCTGCCATCACCTGTCTACTGCAGGCCAGTAACGACTGCCAGCAAAGAAATGATAATTGGGAATGTGGACAGAAAATGGTTTAAAACTCAGAAAGATCACATTAAGGAACTATAGGCTTACCTGATTAAATATTACGTTAAGCAATTCGCCGCAACTGTCCGTAATTAGTACATTACAATCTGAAAATAATAACAATCGAACCAAAATGACCTCACCTCAATGTGAAACATTGGCGATTGCACCGTTGATCAGGCATTTTCACCTGCTCATTGTTCTGGTGTGTCAAATACAGTATACACGTTCTGGGAAGTAATTGTAACTTGGATGGTATCTTTCTTCAAATGATAAGTCTACCAGTCTTTCCAACATATAAAACTCGACTGTTGTCAATACATGTATGGTAATCAGAGGCCAACACGAGGGGCTGTTGAGGTCTTGATAAGGTCTTTTCGGTACATTATATAAGTAGAAGTGGACTGGTAACAGATCATAATTCTATATCAAAGAAATTAATAATCGCTTAAATGCGAGAAGCCTAACTGGTGAATCCTAGTATCAATATTAGGAAACATCAGGCTGATTCTGAAACAGGGGTTCACAACATAATGTACAAACTTACAGCTTATTATTCTAATGATTAAAGAGACATTAAATGTCTTTTTTAGTACTAATCGTGTTCGTGTTTTATAGGCAAACAAGTACAATCAGTAGCTTATACACGTCCTCATAACAGAGTGAGTGGTGGAATATTAAGACTGCAATTCTAATGTCGGCATAGGCATGAAGTTCGTATCTGGATGAACATATCAACATTTGTTTTAATTGACAACAAATATACAGATGCATCTCAAATCCTCCACCTGACAAGGAAATACGAATAGTTACATTTTGTAGGAGCATGGATGTTCAAAGGCTGACCGATATTGTCAACACAATAAGCGGATTATGCTTGTAGAGCTATGTATACCAGTTACTCTATCAAGCTAATTTCGAGTGGCAATAAAACGAGACAAATTGGAACCAGGTCATTGAATAGCGATTGGATGTCAACTCTTGTACCAAGAGTGCAGGGATAGATTAAAAAGGACATCGTGTTGTAACAATTGTCTAAAAGCATTTATACACGAAAAATACTTTTAGACGAGTTTCACTTAAAACTTGAAAAAAGTCAACTCGAAACTCAAAAGTCGAAAAACTTCACTCGGTACTCGGAAGTCTTCACTCGAAACTCGACACTCGACCAAAAGCAATCCTCTTTTGTGCGTTTTTTCTATAATTAAGGGACTTTATTAATACGTGATACGTCGAAAGAAAAATGTGATTCGAATTATATGAAACTGTTATATATTGCAATTTAAGCAAATAAATCTACACACTTTGTATATAAAAAAGAATATATGGTGACTTACTTTTCAAGTTGTGCGAGCCGGGGTTGACATGGGAACCAGATGTGACGTCCAATCCAGTACACCGAAATGAGCCAACCAGCGGCTACAGGCAGGTGCCACCACGTGTCGAGAAGGTCAGCATCACAGGTACGGTTTTCATAAGAAGATATCTCAAGGAGGAAATGTGTCTGACAATCATTATACAGTGCGCATACGGCAACAGGCGTCGAAAGCAGCAAAGGCACAGAAAACGAAACGATCTGCATCTGAAGTTTACACGTTGTGTACGCTACGAAGTGACCTATGAATGCTGACAGAGCAAGCATCAAGGTAAAGGTAACAGCAACCAAGAGTTTTGGTTCTTTTCCTAATAGTTCAAAAAACGTCAGAAATTGATCCCATTCTAATTTTGTCTCCTGATCGTCCAGATAAAAAGCAAGCGTGCCGGTAATCAGGACCTTCACCGGAGCAGCTAGCGCGTATAAAATAGGTCTGCTCTCTTGTAGGTCGAACTTCAATCCCAGCATTAGGATCTGCAATTTGTTTGTATTGCTTAAAGTTCCACAAAATCTGTCGTCAACGAAGTTTTCCCAATACGAGAATGAACAAAGGAACAGTGCTGCGATAACTTCAACGATCTTCACGCTATTCTCGGCAAAATTATTGTGGTTGATATAGTACTCAGTCAATACAACCACCGGTATAGCAGACATTTGCATGAGGGATGACAACATATCAAAACTGAACACGCTTATCTTACCAACTGTTGACATATTTGTATTTTGCGATGAAGAACACATGGGTTTAAGGAGACTTGGTGTTATACAGGTACAGCTGAGTAGCATTATCCCCCTGACAACATCGATTTCCGGCAGGACTCGGAAAGTCAGTAAAGACAGTCCAACAGAGTGCAAACCCTCAATGATAACAACCTGCAGTCAAAAACAATGGAAATACAAATAATATCATCACAAAACAAATATCAATTTCACTAAATAATAAATATAGATTGTGACTTGCATCATTTCGTTTTAATAACGTTCGATTTTGATTCAATCCTTCGTGCGGATATAACCGACCTGTTTTAAATTATTTCTCAGTGATTCTAGTATAACAACTTACAAAAATGACATTTTTCCTCGACGGGAAGGGAACATTTCCAAATAGTGACCTCCACAAGCTGGTCAGGAATATCAAGGTGTAGGGGATACATATGACGATAAGCAGTAGAGTGTGATGAAATTCCTGAAAGATTAATACAATATATTATTATAAACAGTCTATGTAACAACGTATCTGATTGGATTTTATTGATCACATGACGGGGAAATATGACATCGTGTCTCCTTTTCGCGTTTAAATTTCCATGGTTATATTTCCCTTATCCGGACCCTCTCTACAAATGGGCAAGGGCCATTAGAACCGATGTCCAAGTGACTGATGTAGACCCCAACATAAGTTCAACAACCCAATCATTCTTTCTATTATGTTGTTATTTTAATTTTTGAAATAAAAGATGTATTGTCCTTGTGGTAGAAAACACGATTCTTTGTTTTTCTCTATATTTCACGAGGTCACACATGTGAAAAATGTTTATTAGAAGAGAAACAAGGAATTGTAGTATAATGTCAACACACAGGGGCCATAACTGTTAATACATATACAAAGGTTATAAAATCAGCAGTAAGGATATTGTTTTACGTCATTATTGCATAGTTATGTCGTTTTTATCACATTATACATTAAGGTATTAATGTGTTGAGCACTGAATGAAAATATACAAATAAATGAAAAACAGAAATATTTTGATTTCTTTCAAATCAAAGCCGGTGCAACCAATTACATCTTTCTCTGTACTCTTTCACTATTCGTTTTAAGACGTTGTAGTGCCTTGTCTAAACTGTTCCCGATTCCATGCTTTGGATTTGATGGATTAACTTATTCGATCTACAGTGTTCCCTTTTGGCAAAAGAAACAGCACGCACAAAAATGAATTATATTTTATCATACAGCTGTGTCGTACTTCAAAGACTCGTCGGTGTTGCTGGGGGCCAAAACGGTGGACATCCGAATTGTTTAAACTAGTGTTGAAATAGAGAGGATGCTGCGTAACACCCTACAATTTAGGCATTTAAATATTAACAGGAGAACTGGTTGTTTACAAATTCAATTATCTGTAATTTGTGTATATTATGAAGCGCGCCACTACTCTATAGATATACGTGTAACCATCAAGGTTTCAGCAAACCGCGAGGACGAAAACTTCCACCACAACACTCTACCACCTTATATCTTAAAAGATGAATGCGACACAGTTGATTGTACATTTAAAACTTAGTAATAGATACTGAATGACAAAATGAATTATGCTTGATCATACAGCAGTTTCGTTCTTCTTGGAATGATTGGTGATGCTAGGGCCAAATCGTTTTAACAATAAATGTACTGTTGAAGCAGAGAAGCTGGTCATGAAATCCTAATTTAAAGGAGTACCGGTTAATTTCAAATGAAATATTCTGTAAAACCTGTTTATTATAAACCGTGTCACTGCGCAAAAGAGATTACTGTGTCCACCAAGTTTTCAAGAAACCATGGGGACTAAACAATCCAACAGCAACGTCTACCCTGTTGTATCTTGAAAGATGAACGTAACTAACAAACAGGTGATGCAACATATAACCTGTGGTCGTCTTACGCCAATTATGACGTTATAGTTACAACATATAACCCGTGGTCGTCTTACGCCAGTTATGATGTTATAGTTACAACATATAACCCGTAGTCGTCTTACGCCAATAATGACGTTATAGTTACAACATTTAACCTGTGGTCGTCTTACGCCAATTATGACGTTATAGTTACAACATATAACCCGTGGTCGTCTTACGCCAATTATGATGTTATAGTTACAACATATAACCCGTGGTCGTCTTACGCCAATTATGACGTTATAGTTACAATCTTTTGATAAAAAGAGGATCTCACATGAGTTTCCATTTGATATGAGATTTATGAAACGCGTTGAGAATGTTTGAATTTTGCGAAGCTCTTTCTGTTTATCAGATGACGTAACAAATTTGACAAAACAGTAATTTGAAACTCAGTTTTATGAATTCCGTCTTTATCAATAGTTACCAAATAACGGCTAAAATAATATCATTCCACATAATGCGATGAAACATAGTTCCCATCTCATTTTATTGTTTAAATTGTCAGCTTTTGTTTAACTTTGCAAATTATTGTTATTAGTAATGCAAGTGGGACAATGTTTTTAACACAACGACCTAAACAATGACCTCGCCAGGCTGCCGGACAGACGTGGTACAGCAGAAAGCCGCGTCATAGCGCGCGCAAGTACAAAACGGAGGTCACACATGTTTCCCAGCTGGACTAGTCACTGTCGCAGTCTGACATGATTTCTCTTCGCCTGATAACTCTTGGATGACTTACGTTGTCCTGTTTTGTAACCACATTGATATGGAAGTATCCTCAATACATATTACCACCAAACATTGTACGCGGTGTTGTTATAAGTTGGAGTCAACTGATTCTGTTGACATTGTGTTAAGACGAGAGCCATGGTTACTGAAGGGACGGATAATATGCGCGAAATGATATTGTGCTGATCAGAGTTAATGTGACTGTAATTCCTGGCATATTCATCGCAAGATCAACTCCGTCCATCTACACTGTGTATTCGTTAGGTCCTTTATCAAGTGGGAATTTTGCGAGTCCATTGATTGTAAAATTAGTAGTACAGTGTTTATATATTTTTCCTACGACTCATAGTAAAAAGTAGCTATGCTTACAGACTACGTCACGCGTATTACCAAACACGAAATGTGAATAGACTGACCAATTAAACACCTCCAATGTGTTATTACACGTGTGTTCATAACAATATTTATGTAATGGGTGTTATTACACTCATAACAGGGTAGCCATGTGATAAATCGTCGTAGTATGTGACTGACTAGGTTTTGCATCACAGTTAAATCGTAAAGGTTCTAGATGTTAATCTCATTATATAGGCTGTTTGTAACAATTATTTACAATTAAGTTATTCGTATGGACAAAAACACAGCGCATACTTCATATTGATCTCAATGTGTATCAAAATTGATACTTCGTGTAGAGGAACGTTCAAGGATACGCAAACACGTACATTCCCATTATAAATCAAATGTTCATTTACCGAAAATATGCTGTGTTTATCATTCCAACAAATGATATGCCTATTTGCTCGTGTATTTCACCAACTTACGTCAAAGAGAATTTCTGTTGAATCGTACTCAAGCATGTAAACAGTGCTTTCGCCGGCACTTTGTGTCAATCAGAGTATTGTAATATATACCTTTTAATGACAACGTACTTACCGATGTATTGGACACGAGCGTAGCCAGACTGAGTTTTTGTATTACAGAGCAGACGAGGAGAAGCAACCCCAACACTATGTAGGTGACAACTTTTAAAACCATCATCCTGCCTGTCATATGGAAGTCGTCTCTCTTCGGTTCCCGGCTTATGATTTTGAATATGTCCCAAAACCTATAAAAGATAAATGATCTGATGACTGCCTCTTTGATAAAGAGAAATGTTTTATTAATCAAGGTTGATGTTAAGTTAGCGGATTATAGGTATAGCATGATATAATGTAATGTATACACACTGCCACAGTAACGCAGAGACGAATATGATCATTTATTTTTTTATATTGTAAAAACAAAACTTTGTTCTCCTATCTTACATCGAATTGGGTGATGCTATTGGCTTATATTGATTGTTCATCACCCAATTTTTGCCAAATTACCAGACTCTCTCTTTTTGGGAACAGTAACATCTCTTTGAAGGCCTATGTGACCCAGACAATATTTCGCGTTCTATTTATAAAACCACGTGTTGGAAATATGAACTTATATAATGAACAAACATTTTGGAATTGATGCTGTGGTATTAAATGTATTAATATGTATCTAAATCTGCCCAGTGGTGGAAACACTGACAGTAGACTTCGATTGATGATACTCTATGATATACTATGTAGTACGGTAGTATAAAGAAATATCCAAGAGCAATTTTCCTTTCACTGAGTCACAATGTTAAAACTCAGAATGATACCTGTTTACACCCCGCACTAAGTTCAGTCTTAAATCAAATACAGTAGTTTAGAACGAAAGCCCCGGATACAGCTCGGACTGACACAAATGCACGCACGGACAGGTTCGAATGGACATCGCATTAGCAAATACTATATACTCTCATGAAAGCACTGATATAAAATCAATGTTGATAGATTGCATCAACGGAATTACAGGGAAGACAAAGTAGAATAAAGGTAAATGAAACAGATGCCGAACTTCTATCTTTTTTTTTTTACAAAATTAAGCGTATTCAAAAATAGAACAGGCACATTCTTCTTAGTATGACCCAGAAACATCAGCTTGTGTCAGTATGACCGATGAATATTATTGTTTGAGGTTTGTTTATTTACATTTGAATTATTGATTTCAAATGATTAATATGCAACGCATAAAATGGTATTTTTAGTTAATTATTTAAAAAAACCATTACCTGCTAATTAACACATGTTTTCATTGTAAAAAGATGAATAATACTAAATAAAACTTTTCATTAATACAAACTCTGTATGCGTTTTGCTCGATGATTTCGGTTCCTGCTCCTTCGCTTCAGTTTCGGCTTGTTGGGTTGGAATGCTCTTTACATCTGGTGGCGTTGGAGCTCTATTTTTCTTTTTGTATCTTTCCCTATACTTTCGTGGATTCACAGAATTGGCGAGAACTTTGGGATCGAACCGAGAGTACACAGTCTCTCTGTCATCTTCATCTTCTGAATCCGAGGAGGATTTGGAGCTCAAAGTGTGAGTTTGATCCAAGCGAGGTCCAAAGCTCTGTCCCGGATCATCCAAACCATATCCGTTTGACTGCGCGATTCCAGACCCAGGATTTAATGAGCTATCCCAATCGGTGTTGGATGTGCCGAAATCGCCACTGTTTTCAGTCTGTCAAAACGTAATATAAAAGAAACTGAAAAAGTGACAGAACAATACCTACATTGAGATCAAAACAATACACAACTGTTAAACAATAATATATTTAGAATAAAACATGAGGTTTTCGGTAATATGTAGCAATAAGATCGGATACCCGCTAAACGTAGACACTTATCAGGTTAACGTATCCCGAACAACTACATTATATCATAAATAATTGTTTTACATTACACTGTTTACCCTTATATAAGTGAATATCTAAGAAAAGAAACGCCACTATCCAAATTATGTAATACATATCCTTATTTTCCAATCACAGAATTTTTAAGATACACCTGTTGAAGAATAAAAAATATATTGTTACAAAATTTTATCAATACACTACAGCAGCAACACTTAAGGACTCGAATTCATACAACTAGATATCATATAAAAATGGTAACAAACCTAAACTAAAGAAACATCATTATAAACACTAAGATATTTTGAAGTATCCTGCACCACTTGTGGCAGGCAATATGCTGTATCTTGTTAAATCGGAGAAGTTTGTCACCTACTACAGAATGTATGATGAACAAGGATTGATTAAGGAAGTAATAACAATACAACATGTGTACACACACATACCCTAATACATAAAGAGGAGGCACACAAAAGATGAGCCAGATAGTGTTGATTGTTAGATACACCGGAGTAGTTTCCTTGATATTAGCGAGCTATAAACATGTTGTACATTATAAAATATACAGTGACATACGGTAGAAAATCAGCAGAGGATGACTGTATAATTTCTGCAGTGAATATTGAAGTACTTAGTAAGCAACACCAGACATGTTAAACTAGCAGACCCATCGCTGTCTGGACAAACAAAGGCTCAGTAAAGGACAATATATGTACAGTTTAGTAACTTGATTACTAGGGACATGCGTGACGGTAAACACTTTAATTTTCGGCTATACAAAGTATGGTCGGCTTCAACATTATAGATTATTAGTTTCACATCGTAAACACATAGTTTATATTCAAACGATCACAAAGTAGCTTCGGTAATGTTTAGGACAATGGTATTTGTATTCGACTTATACTTTTGTTTTAATTGAAAGCTCTTAAATAAACCTCGAATTGTATTTTGAGAGACTATAAATAACCCACCTAAATAATGCTGAAATTCCGCAAATGATAACCGCAACCTGATAGCCCCATTATGCATGCTTAAAGAGAGGTGCTTGTGATTCAGACAGATTTTAGAAGTTTAAAATTGTTGCATTCTTTCTGTGACATCATATAGCAGAATAATGTGTTTATATGAAACAACCTTTAACGAGTTTCACGAATAACAGATTAAATAAAAACACATCTTATAATCTTTCTTTTCTGTTTACGTTAACATTTTGAAGTTCACTGTAATGAAATGTCTGCGAGACTTGAAATCTTGTCATGGTTAAAGAAATGTCCCCACGTGTGGTGGAGGAAACGATTCGACTTCCGGAAGACGTGTTTTCGCTTTCAAGTATTGTTGTGGTTTGTGATGTCTTTTCATTTCATGCTTTTTTGTCTCTTTAAACTGATATTTGATGATAGCTTGGTGTTCGATCCGATTGATGGAGGGAAAACTTAGTAATGATACACTAAAATTGTAAGTAATAGTATTCGACATTTATTGATACATATACACTGTAAGACGTTTACCGCTGGGAAGCCGTTAATGAATGGTAACAGAATTACGTTACGAGAAAGTAAAAGAGTCTTGACCGGAGGTACAATTAATACTGTGTAAATGTATGTCACCTTGATATAAATAATGTATGAACAGGTGAAAATACAGGTGTAGCTATCATGAAATAGACTCTACCTTTGAAATAACACTGTATAGTCCTCTCCCAACTGACAGGGTCACACCTTGACATTAGAACAATATATAGACAATGTAGGATTAATCCCCTATTGTTTAGAGTATAAGTAGTGGACTCCTTGTTTAGGTAACACCCTTAGGCATATATAGATTTCAATTCAATTTATTACCAAATGCACATTGCATATAGGCGTAGATATAGATATAGATATAATATGATAGAGATAAATATAGATATTCAAACTGCTGGCAAGGGGAAGCCATAGAAAATCATAGTTCAAGGGATGGTTGATATTAGAAGGAAATCCCTTATGAAACAGAGGAAAATCTTCAAAAACCTTGGTCAAGATTATTTTTTAACACAGAAAAAAGGGGTGTTGCCCTGGCTACAGTCTGTCTTCTCTACTTCAGAGATGCTCACTGCTGCTCAATTTGAAAAAGATGCAATATCTCTGCAAAACCGCAATATCAAGTCATGCCAGATTTCACCATTACAGTCCAGGGTGTTTCAAAATTACTTAAAAACCTAATTCCTAATAAAGCAGCTGGTCCCGACAATCTCAAACCGAAAATCTTGAAGGAACTTGCTGATGAAATAGCACCAATTCTAACAATCATCTATGAACGGTCTCTCATATCAGAGAAAGTACCATCTGACTGGAAAACAGCCCATGTCTCTCCCATATAAAAAAGGGTCCAAAATTCTCTGCAGAAAACTACTGACCAATTTCCCTCACCTGCATATGTAGCAAAATGATGGAGCATAATGTTGTCAGTAAAATCATGATACATGCTGAGACAAAAAAACATCTTATACCCACTTCAGCATGGATTTCGCAAATCAAGATCATGTGAAAGCCAGCTGTAGAGTTTAAGGATGATGTTTTCAACAACATGGACAGTGGCACCCAGACCGACAATCGCATCATGGACATTTCAAAGGCCTTCGCCAAAGTAAGTCCCTCCCTCCTTATCCATAGGTTGAAGCACTGCGGTGTGCGTGATATAGTTGCCACATGGATAGAAGACCTGTTATCAGATAGGACACAGTCTGTCCTTGTTGAAGGTGAAAAGTCTGAGTACGTGAATGTCATGTCTGGAGTCCCCAGGGCTCGGTCATCGGCCCTTCATTGTTCCTGTTCTACATAAACGACATGCCAGTGGGTCTAGATGCAACTGTCCGTCTATTTGCGGATGACATCATTGTCTAACTGGCTATCAAATCAATCAGTAATGCCCTAAGGCTACAGGCTGATCTAGACCTACTTGCACAGTGGGAAGACAACTGGAAAATGTCATTCCATCCTGATAAGTGTAATGTCATGTCAATCACTAGAAATAAGTCCACTGTCAAATTCCAGTACACTTTAAATGGTCATTCGCTCCAACATGTAGATGATGCCAAATATCTGGACCTTAACATTCAATCTAACCTCAAGTGGGACACTCATATAAATAAAGTCTGTGCAAAAGCAAACTCCACCCTGTGCTTCCTTCGTAGAAATCTTAAAATAGGTTCCACATCTCTTAAGGAAAATGCATACAAAGCCCTCGTCAGACAATCTTTTAAAAATGCATGTACTGTACCCCTACAATAAGACAGACATCCAACAAAGAGAAATGGTGCAACGTAGAGCTGCTCGGTATGTCACAAACCGGCACCGGATCTTGTCCAGCGTTGGTGACATGCTGAATACGCTGGGCTGGCCCTCACTAGAAAAAAGACGCAAGGATATGCGCCTCAGTACCTCCCATAAGATTGTACACAACCAAATAGCCATATCCATGGACATCTTAAGGCCCCCATCACGTCTCACCAGGCACGCCCATGCTCATTCATTGTAAGTACCTTCTTGTAAAACACAGGTCAGAAAACATTTTCCCACGAACAATATCTGATTGGAATCGCCTCTCTCCAGACATCTGCGAACTTAATCAAATAACTGCCTTCAAATCCGCCATAGCTAAATTACCATAAATCCCTATTTATTCATTTATTTCTTGAATTATATATCTAATTACTTATTTATTTTTCCCTCCTTAAGCAATGATTTCCAAATAACATAATCTTCAACTTGTTGAAGGCGGTTATTATAATGTAGAAGTAGAAGTACAAGCTAGGGAAACTCCCCTGGGTCCGCCCCTGGGTCCGCCCCTGCTCCTCATTGAGACCTGCTTTTCTGTGAATATTCATTTCTAAATATAGCCTATTTAGAAATTCCCTACAGTTTTATCTACGATAAACAATGATTTGATGTAAAAATATTTGAAAGGTTTGTCAAATGGTGGGTGTCTATTTAACAACTACATGTACAAGACTGTAAACAAACACACACATTTTGAAAACTGAATAAAAAAAAAATAAAAAATGTTAAATTGACAGAGGCGAAGCATTGGTGAATAAGACTTTGTAATGTTCATTCTACCAGACCTCATATTTGCTATCACAAAAATAGGCGTCAAATATACCTTAAGAAAACAAACTAAAGGTTATAATTTAGCACGTTCGAATGAGAGGTGTTCTGTCATGTTATTTTACACGATTCAAGGCATACAACTTGGTTAAACGGCCAGTCCTGCTGACAAACAATCTATATGTAGTTTTTCGTTTAAAATATGGCTGAATACATTTAAACCTTTCATGCCGTCTGAAGCTCATAAAAAGTGACAGTGATAATTGTCGTCATTCCAAACACGAATACTGCCTACTGTACAAAAAAAAACCTGTTCTTCCAAAATTATACAATGGTGTGTGCTTTTTACAGAGAATGTGCTAGTATATAGTACGAAAATAATATGTATTCACCTAATGCAATAATTGTTTGCACGTTTCCTACAATTATATAATAACATGTCTTTTTATGCGGCGTGAGTAATAGTGTGTTGACGGTTGTGTGTATCCGGATAGGGCTTACAACGAGAAAATAAGCTTTGCACAATACTAATTAGTTATTAATATTACGCGAATGGATAAGTTACCAATTTTAACAAAGTGTACAGGTATATGCACTTTATTAAACGTGTTTAGCTACGTGGTTGTTGTACGGAAAGGCCGAGTGCGAGGACTGCCGGTGTACGGGACATATATTTATCCCCATAGTTGTCATGAAATGATTAAAAGCTAATGTTAAAAACAATTATCTGTATAAGTGAGACATTTCAGTATTTGTTTCGATAAATTTTGAGCGAAAATGCAAAGTAACCAACACATAAAACTGAGCGTTATTGATTGCTGTCGACTTTCCCGGGGTTTCAAAGTGCATTCGTCTGGTTTTGTAATACATACAAGTAAAAACAACCCCAAAATGGGGAATAGTATTTCCCATTGAAAATCAACAAAATATCCCCAATAAAATAAAATTCCATGAGTGACTCAGGTGACCTGAAAATTAATTTAGATTTCTCTTCAAAAGTTATCTTGGTCATCTTTCATGATGTTCTACTATTAAAAACCAGTGCAGTGGTGTAATTCTGCAGTTTTCAGCATTTACCCCTAAGCCTAACACTGAAGTCAATGGAGAGCAAAGTCAGTGATACTTTGTTGTTATTTATTGGATTTAGTTGAAATAATAACGCCCTTTTTTGCTGCAAAGTTTTTAGAAGAGCTTTGTGTGTTTTCATTTCACTTTATTCCCCATTTCAGTAATGAAATTGTTACTCAAATGGGTAACTGTTACCCAAATGCAGAATCATTATCCATCTGATTATCATATGAGCCGTTGTGCCCAACCTGTTAAACCGTACGTGTTGCACGTGCGTCTACAATCCGTGGGTAACAAAACGTTCAGTAATTTGTCTCAATATAACTACAATAGCACCAATAAAGTGATATAATAATTTCTACAGTATTTCACTTAAAAATTGAATAATTAAAAGCATAGCCTTACCCAAGCCTTGAACACACAAAGCGAAAGTAAATTCACGCTGCCATATTGCCAGATGTATAATATAATTACTGGGCCCGCGCATCCGAACTGGTCACGTCGTACACAGTATCTACGTTATCGTAAATATTTTTTATTAAATATATGTAAAGCACAAAAATGATTTAAATAGATACACAAATTAGTTAAAAATAATACATACTATTTATGTGTAATAAATGAAGCTATTAATTAATTATTTAACGTTCCATTTGATACGATTGTTTAAAAACAATTTAAGTATGTTTAGAGAGTTATTGGCAATGACATACATCTAAAAAAAATATTATTTTAAATAAAAATAAATGCAATGTACAAGTAACGACAAAAAGGTTACATATATGCTTGGATACATTTATTGCAAAGCAACGAGAAAAATGTATAGAAATCCGGAACCATGCACCCGGTATCCGCTTTCCATAGAAGATGCCCCGAGTGTCAATAGCCACGCCGCTCGGTACGTAGTGGCTATTGACACTCGGGTGGTAATAGCGACGGCCCTTTATAATTCGTTTGTTAATTGAGGTCGCTCTAAAAACATCACCGGGCTATTTTAAAAATGACAACACAAATATTATGAAGTAAATAACCATGCTTCAACAGGTATATCATTTCAATAATGGCTCTATTTGTACGTGATCTGTTGCAAAAGAAACATTGTGAAACATATATATACCACATCAATGTGGCAGGATTTTGTACAATACAAGCAACTACAATGAAATGGGCAAACGGCTGACGACTTAAGGTTTTGGGTGAATTACAATAACCACGACGGCTGTCGTGTCGGCCGTGATTCAAATACAGCATCAGGAACGTCTACAAAGAGACCAAAGCTACGTAACATGTTTTAAGGGTATTACACTATTCACTGCCACTGCTTCCATGCAGCAACAGTTTGAAATATGCAGTGTTACTCAAACACAAACTTCGCTTTATCTAATATTAAATCTCGGATCCGACCCGCCCTTGGTGTACTTACATATATTTCGTCTTCTTCATATCGAGGCTTCGGTGTCTTTCCTAAACTGTCGTCGTCTAGTTGGGAGATATCTTCAACATCAAAGTCCGCCATTTCCTCGGGTGATTGTTTTATTCAAGAGGAAATGTCATTGTCCATTTACCCGGATGCGGGATAGTCTCACGCAGTCTGTAGGAAAGTTGGTCGATCTAGCAGATCAGATTGTCACAAGGAGGAAAGGGGGGCACTATTTTCACAAGATGCTGTAACGTCATGGTATTAAAGTTTTTCAGTGAATAATATAAGCAGTCTGTAACTTCACAAGCTACCGATGTGGTTCTGTACCTGTCACTCAGTAAACATGAAACGGTGTGCAAAATGAATGACAGATATCTCCCTTGTTATCCGTTCTAATGCTTCAATTCATGGCCATCAAGTGGAACAAAGTCTGAATGCACATACTTCCTAGTACGGTAAAAAATAAATCATTGTAATTGTACTCCTGTCATTAAGTTATATGTTAGATGTTAAAAGGCCGCAAAATAATAAACGCAGATAAGGCATATATTTGTGATAGTCCGCATCGCTCAGATATAATTTCGTCTATTTCAGAGATATCCTGACTAAGTTATGAAGAAAAGAACACTTTATACTACACACTTGTCTCATTTTTACCTTGAAATTTTATCAACAATGTGATCTAAAACTCGCCTCTGTTTACTGTCAGCAGTTACAACGTTAGCATGTCTCTGTTCAGAAAGGTACCCGGAAGTTGTATAGCGTTACAATAGACAGATAAAGGCGTGCGGCAATAGTCAACCAAGCGAAAGTCTAATCTTACATGTATGTTAAATCTTTACAAAAGTATGGTGGCATATTTCTGCCATCCACTTGCGACTTACGAGTTACGTATGTCGACATAATTATTGAAAGATGTCGACATAATCTGAGAATATGTCGACATAATCTGAGAAGATGTCGACATAACTGTTAAATTATGTCGACATATTATCACATTTGCCGAGATAATTTTGCCGAGATAATTATCTCGTAAGTGGGTAACTCGGCTTTTTATCGTGTTAATGCTCGGGTGTGACATCGACTTACGACTTGCCACTTACGACTTATTTATGTAAAATCCCTCTTTGATTGATAAACTCTGTACATCATAGTAACCTACTGTAATATCCATATCTTTGATTTCCCATATTTACATTGATTTTACCAAGTTACTCACCAGTATAGTCACCACTGTTCAGTCACCATCAACCCACCTTCGCGGTCCTCGTGCACATGCCTCGTTTTGGTGAGTCGGCAATAATCTACTAGGATGTCGACATAAATAAGTCGTAAGTGGCAAGTCGTAAGTGGCAAGTCGATGTCACACCCGAGCATTAACACGATAAAAAGCCGAGTTACCCACTTACGAGATAATTATCTCGGCAAAATTATCTCGGCTAATGTGATAATATGTCGACATAATTTAACAGTTATGTCGACATCTTCTCAGATTATGTCGACATATTCTCAGATTATGTCGACATCTTTCAATAATTATGTCGACATACGTAACTCGTAAGTCGCAAGTGGATGGCAGAAATATGCAGAAATAAGGTATTACCCAGAGTAAGTTTGACTGTAGTTGGAAAGTACATTTGTATGCATAAACTCTAGATCTAGAGTTTTAAATTCAAAATGTATGTGTTGATTTTTCCTTGTATATTTTTTATGTTTTAGCTGTATTGACCGGACGGTTAATGCACGTGAGGTATATGTTGTCCATCAATCCTGTTCTCATCAACTTTCCTTTCCTCTGTCTACTTTCATCATTGAAGATTATTGTGCAAATACTACACGAGTTCAGTTGACTCTAGACATACTGTATTTCCAGATATCACTTCTGAAGAATATATTCATATTATATAAATAAGATTTTTTATAAAAGCTTTTAGTAGTGAGTCATATCTAATTTGCAAATCGGCTCTTAAGCGCTTTACCGCGAATGCATAATGCTCTTCTAGTAATACAGAAGTAGACAAAAAACCATAAATATATACTCTACGCAGGTTGTTTACCTTCATGTGTATACACTTACAGAACATTTACATTAAAAGCACTAAAATACTGACATAAACAGGTGAGCTTTAATATCTGTCCTGAATGTGATAAGGGTTTTCTTCTTCCTAGATTGAAATTTGACCGTGCTCATTATGGTTCAAAGTATATTTTTTTCAATACTGTCTTTAACACTTTGTGAACTTTTCTACACAGTAAGAGCTACCCTTCCAAAACACAAACATACAAAAACAACGTTTCAGTCCATGAGTCACGGAACGAAATTCGAACGAACACCAATGATTCTCTCTCTAACTGCAGTGATGATAACGACCTATGAAGGTTGCGAGGCTCCTGTAAATACTCAGTTAAAGGTTTCAACCTTTAATAATTTCGTCAATATACCAGGTATAATTTCACAATTATGCATGTAATTTCACGCTATATAATATTTTCTATCTGGAAAGTTGTATCTAATTCAATGGTTTTGTTTGGAAGATACACAAACCAATATTTGTTTTGCTAATCACTGATTAAGCTTATCACCTTTTGAACAACTAGGCTCAGTTCTTTATTAACTTAAAGTCTTACGACTTATCAGTGTAAACATATAATAAACAGGATATTAATATATGTACAAAAAGCCACATTGGTCACAGGAGAATGAGCAAACTGTCCTATATCTGATCGGCGCTTAATTGCCGCTGTCAGAAATTTCTATCATATAACCGATATTAACTGATTTTGTTAGATACGATTGAAGTTAAATTGTACATGTATTATTTAATTCTCTGTAAAGCACACCTTTAGACATAATTATAATTACACTATATTCCTCTTGATTAAAAACGTCAAATAATCTTGACTTAGTACATTTTGTAATTGAAAAAGTGATTTTTTTCCGTTCTTAGCGTCCCAGATATATCCTAAGCCTAAACAATACCATACATCTTTTATTTCACAGACCCACGGCTCCTTGAATAGCAGCATATTTTCATAATAGGATTTCAAAATACAATTTTCAGTATTGAGCAACTTAAACCAATATCTAAATATTCTAAGTTTCCTTGTTACATGCGATGGACAACGGCCTAGTTCGAAATAAACCATCATATTCGGAGTGGAGTCAGATGGTCCATTTAATGATTCGGATACACCGTTATTTCCCCTGAATTTCGTTTAATATATAGCTGTAGCCCGGGTTGGGCAGGACTGGACCAGATAGCCAAGTCTGTAAGAGTGTCACTATAGCAATCTGAGTTTTCGAGGTTTGAATTGCATAATTGTTCATATCAGAACACTTAAAAGCTCGTCTATTTTTGAAAGTTTGTTTTTGTTTTTTATTGCAATATAGTGTTTATCGGTCTGTATTTTATTCTGGTATAAGAATTATCAAATGGTAGTGTAAATAGTGGAAACAATAATAAACATAAATCAAAAACAAAACAAAAACAAAATAAAATAATAGAATAAATACAAAAAGGATAAAAAAAACACATAAAAACGGATGGTACAGAAAGTTTTAGATAAAAAAGTATGTTATACATGAAATCCCGAAAATATTCTAAACGATTGAAATATCTTGGATAAAACAAATCAATTTAAATTGTTTAGTGTATTTATATTTGAAATAAGATGGAACGATATAGTTACCACATAACAATCCAATACATACACTTAAAAGCTTGCAAGATTTACTTCCCTTCGTACGAATGTTTCGCACAAACAAGCAATGCATTACTGTTTTATCAAACGTTTGTGACTAAATATGAAATGCTTTTCTGTTTTACTTAATTCATACTCATCCATGTACGTATGACATTATACGCTATATCAACAACAGGGGGGATTGTGCTAAGTGAATTCGTACCTTCGTAATCACCAAATCAAAGGTCCTTCATTGACCAGTCACAATATCTGTATCAGACACTAAAATATTCGCCGAATCATTTTGTTTTTATTCACTTCCGTTCACGTCGAAAGTGCATGTAACACAGATGAAACGTTTTATTACTATCCCGGAACTCGATTAATAATGTACAGAACTGTTTAGGAGAACCACGACTTTCGTAAAACGGGCTTACTGTACATATCGGAATTACTCGGAAAAGTATAGAAATGGCCTGTCTAGACAGAATCAGTGTCGCACAAGAATGATCAATAGGCATGTTGTTACTCGAGTGTTACCGTATGTGTTGTGAATTGGGTTAATAGCCACTCCACGCTGGGCGGATCAGATGTGGTAAAATTGTAAATATTTTAACCTTCATTTACTTGTAATTCGACAACCTCAGAGGGACTTCATCCCAAAACCCCACAGGGACTCCCTTCATAAAATCAGTCGTAGATCCGCGCCTGTTTTACTTATATCGATGTTTGTCAGATCAAAGATAGTTACGTCTTGTCGTATTTGGTCAGACTCAGGACAGTAGTAAGCATAATTAATCATCTGTATTAACAGTCTTCCATGCGTGGCCAAGGGGACGTAACTCGCATTAACGGTAACTCGGTCAAAGACATAGATTCAATGGAAAGGGGCAATAGTAATACCGTAATACAAGAGCAACCACCTTGTGTCAGATCACAGGGGCTCGTGACAAATGTCTAATATACACTTGTCTATGCTATACTAATATGGGTTACCACACACCTAAGCATTGGGGATAAGCTACGTCAGAGCAGTAACAAACGCCTAATTTCAAACAATTTCAACATTAAGTTTTGTTGAAAGAAAACCTCAGTATAGCATATGTATATTTTAGACATTTATAACGTACCCCTGTGCTCAAATGAACTTCTTTGCATCAACGTTTTGAATGTTCTAGGCGAGTCACAAAAGCGCGTAAATGTATGTTACCAACTAGCCACAAAAATCATACGTCATGGAATGAAGCAAGTGTAGACCATTTGATCGCGTACCAGGTAGCTCTGACGGAAAAACTCAGTAAAGTTCAGGATTTTGATATGTCCACACAACTTGGAGTAGACGCGTTATCTGAACAACTATCGTTATGTATGTTGCTTTCGTCAGATGAAGCAATTCCAAATCGTCAACTCAAACAGTATCTAAAGCCGTACTGGACACCAGATATAGAAAATGCGCATAATGTAGCTCTTCATAAAAGACAATTGTGGATAAATGAAAATAGACCGCGAGGGATGCAAAATGAAACATATAAAGACTACAAGGAGGAAAAAAATTTATTCCGGAATATTTAGACAATGTTAACAACGAGCTCGATAGTACAAGAGTGCTGCTGAATTAGATATAATATTGTTCTAGCGGACAATACGGAAACGAAAGAACCCATCTTCAGACATGTGTACAGCATTGACTCATGGGGGTAATGTATGTAGGGATCCTATTGGAATTGTAGACATTTTCACAGACTTCTTTGAAAAACTTTACGTGGATAATTCAAAAGGAAAGACGGATTTTAACCCACCATGTAGATACGGCGATGAATTAAACTCACCATTTACGTTTGACGAGATCAATGTCTGTATACGGCAGTTGAAATTGACAATATTACAAATGAACACATCAGATATGGCGGGAAACTGCTAAAAGATAAAATAAGTAAACTGTTCGACTACATTCGAATATCTGGGAAAATACCAAAAACGAGGAAAATGGAAATTATAGTTCCGATATATAAGGGTGGACATAAAAAGAGGAAT